AAGGAGTAAATTAGAAGGGATACTTTCTAGGAGTAGAATGGAAAGGGACATTAACTAGGAGAGACATTTTCCAGAAGTAGACTAGAAGGGACATTTTAGAACTAGACTAGGAAAGACTTTCCAGACGTACGTAGATTAGGAAGATGTTATTATCTTTTGATACCAAATCGAGTGTACATTTTAATTTCCGGAATAGAATTTTGGTCTATTTCAAAATTGGCACTCTTTCAGATATCTTCAGATTTCATTATTTAAAATAATTAATCCGTCAATTTTTCATTTCTATTATCACTTCGAATTGTTTAACTAAGCTTAATTATTTTAAATACTTTGATAATTTAGAGCTTATGCGAGTAAGTAAAAGTATAAGTATGGTTAGTAAGTAAAAGATTTATTAGGTATAAGTATGGTTAGTAAGTAAAAGATTTATTAGGTATAAGTATGGTTAGAAAATGCTAATAAATAATGCTTCTTAGTAAATGCTTACTCACTTTACATAATGTGCATTTCAATTTATCAAATCTCATATTTTATTTTTTTTTACTTTTTGTAATATTTTTGCTAAGGAATATTTTATTCTTAAAAAAAAAAAAACTTTTGCTTTTTCTACGCTTTAAATATTTTTACAAATAATTAAAGAGTAAAAAATAACTAAGAAGATCTTATTATTAATTAATTATCACTGTTAGATGATAGATCGGCTTATGAATTTCATTTCAAAAAATAAAAAATAAAATAACATTTGATGGTTTGCGTTTCATTTCATATTAAAATATAAAAAAATAAAATTTATAGATGATGATAAAAAAAAAAAATTCAAATCCTCCCATATATGAAAATATCTGAAGGATGACTTGCAGAAAAAAAAAAAAATTTTAACTATAATGATAGGAGTGGTTATCTCTGTCCCATACTTGTGTAATTTGAATCATTAAGATTGTTATCCATTCAAAATTCAACACATCTTCTATATGGATTCATGGAATCAATATAAATGATAAAATTCTCTTTCAATCGATAATTTAAATCATTTAATTCAATTCATGAAGTTTTTTTTTTTTTTCAGGACTGGTCTTCAATCTAATGCGCAACATTCGTACTCTTATCATGATAATTTCACGCATAGCTCAGGTACTGGAACTGTTATATCAACAGATTGTCCAAGTCCTGATCGTGATTCTGCTTTTGGTGATTCTTCTAGTACTGAATCTCGAAATAACAATCGAAATTGCCGAAACTCAGCTATCTCATGTTCCGATAGCTGTCGAGGTTCACTTAATACGCCAAGTCCAACTCAACAGGTTGGATTATTTATCTTTCTTTTTTTT